TGTGTGTGTGTGTGTGTGTGTGTGTGTGTGTGTGTGTGTGTGTGTGTGTGTGTGTGTGTGTGTGTGTGTGTGTGTTTAATCCAGTCACTGAGTTTTCAGGAGTCTTGTTCTCTAACTTCGTCTCCTAAGCGTTCAACCTGAGATTTCCCTCTGATGTACTTATTTCTAATCTCATTCATCCGGGTCACTCCCAAAGAAAATCCCAACATCTTCAGTTCTGCCAACTACAGATCGGCCTCCTCTCTTTTGGTCAGTGACACTGTCTTCCAGCCGTATATCATACCAGGTCTAACTAGTAACTTATAAACCTTCCTTTTCACTCCTGCTGTTATGCTTCTGTCACAAATCTCTCCTGACACTTGTCTTCAGTTACTCCACCCTGATTAAATTTTCTTCTTCACCTCTCTTGTGCACTGTCCAATGTTTTGGATGGTTGACTCCAGGTATCCAAACTTAACCAGTTTCACTACCTTTGCTCTTATCAGCTTCCCTATACCCATCATCCTTCTCTTTCACACATTTCTACCCTGTCTTGCTCATTCCTTTTCTCTCCAGAGCATACCTCCAGATAGATCGCAGTGTTATCTGCAAACATCACAGTCCACGGACACTCCTGTCTGACCTCATCTGTCAACCTGTCCATCACCACTGCAAACAAAAAGGTGCTCAGACCCAATCCCACCTCCACCTTGAACCCATCTTTCACTCCTACCCCACATCTCACCGCTGTGTTCTCATACATTTCCTGCACCACCCACACATACTTCACTGCCACTCCTCACTTTCTCCTGCAGTGTCACAGTTCCTCTCTTGGCACCCTATCATATTCTCTCTTTACATCCACAAAGGCACAGTGCAGCTCCTTATGACTTACTCTGTGCTTCTCCATCAACAATCTCAAATGCTCACTGATCATCACCTCTCTTCTCACCCTAACTTCAACAACTCTTGCAACAAATCTTATGTACACGTGATATTTTGTATAAATAAATAAATAAATAACACAGCAAATATTATTTGTATTCCTTATTTTTGTGTGTTCTCATTCTTGCTGGATCCTGAGTGCAAATTTTAAATCACCAGAAACGGATACGTGTTGGAATTACATTTAAAAAAAACCCCAATGAATTTGAAACGAATAAAAGAAATTGAAAACATTCTGCACAATAAGACTGAAACAACAATGAGAGAAACAACCCCAAAACTGCAGGTCAAAGCACAGAAAAAATAACGAAAAACAAAAATCATTGGAAGACAATCCCCGAGGGTAAGAAGGCAGAAGAAAGTAGTTGGGGGTCACGTGACGGGGTCGAGCATCTTTTTTTTTTTGGTCCGTTTTAGATGGTGGCAGGAGCTCCGTGCAGCCCAAACAAAAATGACCAAACTGCAATTTTTAAACGTCTTTTTGACTGAGCGTCTCATGCTTGCTGCGCAGGAGATTTACAAATCTGTCGAGGACACGATTTTGGAGTACCAGGAGGAGATAGCGATCCGGGAGCGGGAGAACGACCATCTGAGACGCAGGCTGCGAGACGCTGGGATTGAAATATGGCCAGGTTAGCTCCACTCTAAGCTAACGGTGCAGTGGTTTCTTCTTCTGCACTATTAGCCGAGTGTATGCGGGGAAGCGGGGATTGGTAGGCAGAGGAACTGAAACAGAAACGTCAATGATGAAGAGTAGCAGCAGCAGAATAATTTCGACCCGCTTCCAAGCAAGTCCAGTTTGGTCGCTGACAAGCTAGTTGATGTTAGCTGCTGGTGCTGTTGTTGTGTAGGGGCTAGCGCGATAGCAACCTTTGTTCGTTAGCCAGCCTGCTAGTCTACTAGCCTAGTGCCTATACCCGGGCTAGCACTGAGCTGTATCTGGATCCTTGTGTGTATACTGACGAATTTGTTTTGCAGACGCATACATTATCTGACAGTCACACATGCTGGAGAAGGAAAAGCAAACAAACCACCACACAAGTGATGTGTCAGCAGTGTTTGTTTACCCCGGTCTTAAACCCCTCATTCACAAACACCCATAATTCACTCGGGTTCCAAAGTGCTGGCAGAGATGCCATTTAATTATTAGAAATATAGATACTGTTGTTTGCATGACACATTAATCTAAATTACCAAATTCCTGTTAAATCCTCTGTAATTTCTTTTAATACATCACTTTAAAGTCAGGGGTGTTAAACATAAGGCCTGGGGTGCCTGAATGGACCAGGCAAAGACTCCAGTTTAGCCTAATGAATGGCTTTGGAAAATGTGAAGGACGGCATAAATGTCTGACTTTTTCCTGCATCTGTTTTTGAAAGTTTTATAGCTTTATCTACAATAAAACTTCCCAAACCGATTAAGGATTTAAAAAAAAAACATTTAACTATTAAACTCTCCTGTTTTATAACATAGTTGGGGCAACAAGCTACTTGAAACCTTTCTGTAATATTACATATGCATCTCTTACAATTTAAGAGTTGTGCTGAGAGATTTCTTTCATTTGCTACAGCAGCATTACTTTATGTTAAAGAGAAACAGACATAAGGTTGAAATTTCACCTTTTTTATATGAAGCTATCTCAGGGAATATTTTTTTTAAATTTTTTGCACTGACAGAAAGTGGGACTTTCACCAGATCCGCACAGTTAAGATTGAAGTGGCTAAATGTGGCCTAACTTTATATAGAATAATTTAAAACAAAAGAGGTTGACCCAAAGTAATTTACAGGCACACTCTTTTGTTATTCAGGTTTCAAAAGGAGGTGTGGGGTTGGGCAATCAGAATCAGAATCAGAAACTTTATTGTCATTGTCACGAGAACAACGAAATGAAGAATGGTCCCCGATCATTGCATCATCCCTAGCAATATCAAAATATAAATAAAACAATAAAATTCAATAAATAAAATAGATAGAATACTTAAAATACTAATAAGATGTAACAGTAAAACATTCACATACATTCCCACACACATGCTTCAGGCCGTGCATAGATTAACACAAGAGTGGCGTGATGGACATTTTTTTGTAGTATTCAGATGTGTTATTGCAGTTGGATAACAGCTGTGTTTGAGTCTATTAGTCCTTGCTCTGATTGCCCTGTACCGTCTGCCTGAGGGCAACAGTTCGAACAGGGAGTGGCCAGGATGTGAGGTGTCTTTTATGATGTTTTGGGCCTTTTTAAAACAGTGGACGTTGTGTAGAACTTCCAGTGTGGGGAGAGGGCAGCCAGTGATCTTTTGGGCGGTGTTAATGATCCCTTGGAGTGCTTTCCTCTGAGCCCCTGTGCAGCTAGTGTACCAAATACATATGCAGTAAGTTAGAACACTCTCAATGGTGGCTCTGTAGAAGGACACCAGCAGTCTCTGTGTGATGTTATTCCTCCTGAGAATTCTCAGGAAGTACAGTCTCTGTTGGGCCTTTTTCAGCAGCTCGGAGGTGTTCACACTCCAGGAAAGGTTCTCCTCTATATTGACTCCCAGGAAGCGGAAGCTTGCCACCCTTTCTACACAGTCCCCATTTATGAATAGTGGTTGGATCTCTGCCTTTTTCCTTCTGAAGTCTATTATGAGTTCTTTGGTTTTTGAAGTGTTGAGGAGGAGGTTATTGGCCTTACACCATGACGTCAGCTGCTCCACCTCGTCTCTGTACGTAGACTCGTCTCCCTTGGAAATGAGCCCCACCACTGTGGTGTCATCTGCAAATTTCACAAAGATGTTGCTGTGGTGGCGAGGAGTGCAGTCGTGTGTGTAGAGAGAGTAGAGCAGTGGACTGAGCACACAGCCCTGGGGTGAGCCAGTGCTGAGACTCAGGGCTGAGGATGTGTGATGGCCAACTCTGACTCTCTGTCTACGGCCCGAGAGGAAGCTGTTGATCCACATGCAGGTGCTGTATGGAAGCCCCAGGTCTTGTAGCTTGGCCACCAGTTTGTGTGGAAGGATGGTGTTAAAAGCTGAGCAGTAATCCACGAAGAGCATCCGCACATAGCTACCATGCTCTTCCAGGTGAGTTAATGCAGCATGGAGTGCTGTGGCTACAGCGTCTTCCGTGGACCGGTTTGCTCTGTAGGCAAACTGGTGTGGATCCAGGCTGCGGGGCAGGGCTGCTGTGATGTGTCTGCGGACCAGCTTCTCAAAGCATTTCATTACCACTGGGGTGAGTGCCACCGGTCTGTAGTCATTCAGGCCGGTGATGTGGGGCTTCTTAGGCAAGGGGACTATGGTGGAGGACTTCAGGCAGAGTGGGACAGTCGCCTGTGCGAGGGATTTGTTGAAGATCCTGGTGAAGATCCCAGCCAGCTGTTCTGCACAATCCCTCAATATTCGACCTGGCACACCATCAGGACCCGCCGCCTTCCTCGGGTTAACAGCCTGCAGCATGCGCCTCACCTCGTGCTCTTCCAGGGTGAGGGTGGTGCTGCTATGGGTGGCGTGTTGCTGCTGTGGCTCCAATACCTCCGGTACCCTGGTCTCAAAGCGGGCGAAGAAGATATTCAGCTCCTCTGCCAGCTCCAGGTCACCGTCCGCAGCTCCGAGATTGATCTTATAGTTGGTTAGGTGCTGGATGCCTTGCCACACCTGCCGGCTGGTATTACTCTTCAGATGGTCCTCAATCCTCCTCCTATAGTCCCCCTTTGCCTCTCTGATGCCTCTCTTCAGGTTGGATCGGGTCATCCAGGGCTTTTGGTTGGGATAAGCCCGGATCCGTTTGACTGCTGTAACAGTGTCTATGCAGTGTTTTATATAGCAGAGGACACTGTCTGTGAACATTTCCAAGTCCTGATGTTCAAAGATATCCCAGTTAGTCCTGTCAAAACAGTCCTGCAGCTGCTGAGAGGCACCCTCTGGCCATATGGTAATATTCTTTGTGATGGTAGGAGCAGTTTTCTTGAGGGGGGCATATGCAGGGATTAGAAACAGTGACAAGTGGTCAGACTGACCCAGATGTGGCAAAGGTCTGGCCCTGTAGCCCATTTTGATGTTGGAATAAACTTTGTCCAGAATCTTGTCACCCCTAGTGGCACACTTGACGTGCTGGTGGAATTTGGGGATTGCTCTTTTTAAGTCTGCGTGATTGAAGTCCCCTGCTACGATATGTACAGCGTCAGGGTAAATGCTCTGTTTATTATTGATGTTTGTATGCAGGAGTGCGATCGCCGAGTTAGCATTAGCATCTGGTGGTATGTAAACAGCTGTTATTATGACAACGGTGAACTCCCTAGGTAGGTAGATGGGCCTGCATTTAACAGTCAGATATTCAATGTCCGGTGAACAGTGACGGTCTATTATCACTGTGTTGGGACACCAGCTGTTGTTCACATACATACAGAGCCCCCCTCCTTTGCGCTTACCGGAGTCCACTGTTCGGTCATGTCGCTGTGTGGTATAGCCTGCTAGCTCAATAGCAGAGTCTGGAATGGATTGATGTAGCCAGGATTCAGTGATAAGAAGGATGCATGAGTCTTTGATGAAGTTATTCGCTGCTATTTGCAACCTCAATTCATCCAACTTGTTCGCGAGGGATCTGGCATTTGTGATGAATAGGCTGGGGAGCGGTGGTTTGAGTGGCTGCCTCCGTAGCCTGGCTAGCGCGCCGGCTCTGCAGCCTCGCCATCTCCTTCTCTCTCGACGCCGCCTGCGCCTCAACCCCGCAGGGATAACAATCCATGGGGAGCCCAGACTCCTCGCTATTTCCACCTGTATCTTGTGTAAGCGGACAAATTTGCTAGTCATGCTCTCGCGGTAACTTACTCCAATCTTGAGGAGATCATGTCGGCTATAGATGTTATTCGCTTGGCTGGTAGAACACAAAAACAAACATAAGGCGTACAAAATTATCCAAACATAGCATCGATCGGTAGAACACTGAGCTGCTGCAACTACGTGCGCCGCCATCTTGTCGGGAAAGGCCTGGTTTGCTTTAGTTTTCAGGGGAAAATGCATTGAAATAAGTTGTTGGGACAATGACCTCAGTGACCCTGATGCAAAATATACAGTTAAAACATCTGTAATAATTATATAGACAGGATGTCCAACATGTCACCATCAACAGACTTTGGATGGTATCTTTAAAATGGTACACTTTAACTTTACCCTTGTAGCTAGACTACTTATATACACTGTATTTACCGAGTATGTCTTTAGGCCATAGTCGTGACATTATTGGTCATAAAACAAAATGTTTAGGATGCCACCATGTCACTCGTTCTGTAAGCTGTGACCACGTAAGATTTTTAACATGGCATAACTAAAATGAAATATTTCTGTTCTATTAGTTTTACTTAAGAGTGTCGCACGTTCAGCTCTTTGCCTGTTTCATGTTAAAAAGAAAGAACAGAAAAAGGTTAACAAAGAAGATGCATCTACCATTTCTTCAAGTTCTTGTGTTGAGGAACAAGGGATTTTAATATTTGATTTCAAATGTCATCAACAGGCTGTTACCATATTTTCTTCAATGCAGTCAGTGGTTTCGTCTGACCAGCTTCCTTCCAATGTCTTTTCAGATCGTCCGTCCATGGCGTTGTTGGACGAGGAGGATGGTGAGCATCCGCGACGCGAGTGGAGTCCCAGCATGGGGCACGAAGAACGCATTCCTATTCAGATCAAGGACAAAAGAGATATGCGGGCCAACCAAGCAGATGATCAGCTTCGGGGACATGGTTCTTGCAGCACACCAGAAAATATGTTCTCTCCTCCTCGTGTTGGAAATGAATATCCCCAGGATGGCCCACACACATCCAACGTCCCGCAGAATCAGGGTGTGGAAAACAGGGAAAGGGATCCTGGATCTCGAGGTCCCCCGAGGCATGTGAAGGCAGAGAGTGGAGCTGGCCACAGAGGCTCGACTTCCTCCAACAACGGCGCCCAGCCTCTTGCACCGGTCAATCCAAACTGCTCAAACGAGAACAACATTGACATTATTGGGGTGGAGAATGGCGGACAGATGGTTGGTGCTAAGGGTGCTGGAAACGGAGCGAACAGAGGACAGGCTTCTCACATGCGGAACCAGGGAGCCAGCGCCGTAGACTGTCCCCATCAGAAATCCCCCCTACAAGGCCACATGTCTTCTTTCTGTTGCAAAGTTTGCGGTGAGGCGTTTAGTCACATTGGCCACTTACACGTGCATGTACAAGTGCACACTCGGGAAAAACCTTACCGCTGTGGAGTATGCGGAAAATGCTGCAGCTCCTCAGGCAGACTTCAAGAACACCAGCGTAGCCACACGGGAGAAAAACCGTTCCGCTGTCAGATTTGCGGAAAGGGCTTCACACAGATGGCTCACTTGAAGGTGCACATGAGGATCCACACGGGAGAAAAGCCATACAGTTGTCCTGTGTGTGGCAAGTGCTTCAGCCGCTCTGACAAAATCAAAAGGCATCTTCAGACCCATAGCCGTGAGGGAACATATTTCTCAGGGCAATGATGCAACTGTGTTGCTATACAATCTGTTGTGTGAATCTTGAAGAAACTTTTCTATAAAAAGCTCAAATTGCTGCCATTAGGACGATGAGTTGTTTCTTCCAATATTTCAGGATCGAAGAATTCTGCAAATCCTGGAGAACTTTTGTTTTTCTAACCTAATAATCCTCAGTCCATCAATAGAATTTATATTAGCCAGTTTAGTTTGTTGTTTAACACATTTTTTGTACTTGTCACTGAGTGTTAAATATTTGACACAATTTGCGTTATTAGCTAGACTTTCTGTAATATCTAGCCTTTCTTTAGTCAAATAAATAGCATGAAGAAGTCTTCCACCCACATCTTGAAGCTGAGACACATCAAGATCTGCAAGATTGTCCAGCACAGTCACAGCTTATGAGCAGCCGGTCACTTCCAAGTCACACATGAGTTTTAAAATCTCTCACTTTATGACTTAAACTAAAGAGCAATGTATGTATAAAATCATCTTAATTTTATTAGCTAACAAACAGAGCTAATAGTGATGGTTTGGTAAATAAAACCTGTGTATTACATGGCTAAAGCACTGCCGTTTAAAAAAAAAAAACTTTTATTTTTAAATGTAGCATTTTTTTTAAAAGAAAAATATTAGTGTTGCCAAAAAGCCCTGTAAACTGGAGATGTGGCTGATATAAAAGGAAGAGTATGATCTAACATTTATCTCCAACAATTTTCTTATTGTCTAACTTAACTTTCTTTTTTTTTTTTAAATTAGGTGCTGTTACATTAAATACTTACATGCTGCTATCTCACATGAGCCCTTTTCAGACATGCTTGCCTTATCAGCCTGTTAAACTTACGGCACATGTCATTTTAACACAAACTTTTGTGTTCACATAACTTACTGCTTCCACTGCAGAGATGAAGAGTCGTGCAAACACAGTTTTTCCTGTGTGTGCAATGTGCACACTTTAGGGTTATTTCTCTCTGTCATTGTTGTCAGGAGAAGAGTCTCTCTGTGTGTTGCAATGAAGGTGCTGCTGAAAGAAGCGTCCCCTGACCCTCTCACACAGGCTCGGACAGGTCCCTACCTGTTCTGTATTACGCAGCTAAAAGGCATCACAAAGGAATGTCTGCTGAGCTGAACACCTGTCAAAGAGCACAAGAGGCATGCGCTTTGGCATTCTTGTGTTTTTATCTATCCAGTAATGTGACTGGATGTATTTCAGACTTGTGCACAAAGTGGCACATTACAAGGTCTGACTTTAGTGAGGTTTGACCTCTACAGAAAAGTGTCCAAGGTGCATTAGGATACTGTGCGCATGTCTGAAAGTTACTCTTGTTTCATGATGTTGATTAAAAGGAGGATACATCTGTCAGGAGAGTGCACCACTATTTTGTGAGATTCTGTATAAAATCCACTGTTTCTGACCCATTATACATTTAGGAATTTTGTGATGTCTTTTTTTGTTTGTTTTAACGACATGCACTATTGCATTAGTCCTGGATGATGCAGGAATTGACACTATGACAGGACCAGGCAGTATTAGCAGAAACTGTGTGGTTTTTCAGGGATTTCATTCACAGTAGTGATCATTTAAATGTTTTTGGAGTGGCCTCCCTCCACTTAAGAGTTATGATTGGTTTTTCATGGATTAAAGTCCTTCCTCTTCACAGTGATTGATCCCTTCACAGCAGATCCATCAGTTTCTCCTCTCAGGATTAATGCTGCATTCATAACTGGGGGCAGTTGAGAAGCATTAAACAGTCATGATCAATTTAATTTTTTCTCTGCTTGTAGCTGAAGTAAATACAAAAAAAGAAACTTGTATCCACGTATCGTGCAAAAAGATGAACGATAACGAAAGAGTGGTCTTTCCAGAGTGTGTCAGAGCTCAGTCGCTAAGGAGGCCTTGTCTCGCATCATTTGTCCCTCTACATGTGATGAATGCAGCATGAAAAAAAAAAAAGAACTAAACTCCAGCACATCTTCTCAACTTACCAGCAGCCCAACTCACAGTCTTCTCTGGGACATCTTTGTTCCCCTGCGCACACATTATACTGTACAGTGTTGTATCAATATGTATTAAATGTTATTTTTTAATAAACTAGCAGTTGAGTATTTGTTGCTGTTGTCTCATATGTGGCCAAAGTATTCTAAGAGAGATTATTTTCATAGCCAATCACATCAAGCATCCAAAGGTACAAGACACTAATGTTTGCACATTTAGACAAAACTTCTGGCAGCTTGAATTTTCTTGTTTGACGAATTGCAATGTTCCAGTGAATTCTAAATAATACTACCCAGGATTTGAGCACAGCCCCTTCATATGGGAGGCAAATGTATAACTACTAAACTATGAAAGCGCCTCAGACTTTGGACAAATGAAGGTTATTTGTGCCATGGCTGTATTTAAGAATGCTGATTAAATGTGTGCTACTCAGTACCGCTAAATCAAGTCTTGAATGTAATTAAACTCCTGAGTTTCAGCTGCTTCAGAAAATTAATTCTAATTCATTGTCGCATCTTTAGCATTCAAGTTCCTTGGCCTTCGAAGTAAACATTGAAAACCATTTCTAAATAACACCTGTCTGCTCAAAAGCAATGCATAAACTATTGGCTCGTAACAGATCTTTGCAGATCATTCACAACACAATTAAGCTGGAAATACATCAGAGTAATGGAGTTTATTGAGGTAATTTAGAAATTTTATACAGTTTTGGAAAAGCTGGGGAAGTTTCTTAGAATGACAAGCTTTTGCTAGTTGTTGAGTCAGAGTAAGCTCAAGAACTGTTAGCTGTCAGCTTTACAGTGTTTATTAGCAGCACAGATTAGTTTGCAGTATGTCAATAACAAATTCCTGTCCCTGCAAAGATGGCTAATTTGGAGAAATCCACTGCCCAAAAACAATATATACTAAGTTATAGTTAGTTTTGACTATTTTATATTATCATTACACAATACATACACTTAGGGACACTGACCTGTTTCTCTTAGTTTAGCATCAATGCCATGGCTTATCTGGAGAAAGAATGGAGTATGCTGTGCTTTTGTACTACACCATAATCAGTGAAATGTGCCATTTTTTTAAGTTACAATAATGCACTTTATAGGCATATAAAAACAAAGAAGCAGCATGTACAATCAAGAACCTTTAAACAGGCTGTCACAATGTGTTACTCGTCTCTTAATAATAATGCAGTCATGCTATTTTATATTGTAGTAACAGATTCACAACACCTGGTGGAGTCCTTTCCATGTGATTGTTGGTCATTAGTCTGACTGCAAGAGTGTGAAATATGAATGTAAATCTAATCAAATAAACAACAGCTTTTTTGGTGTTGAAACACTGAAGTGCTATACTGAACTTTCATATATTGGAAGCAAGTCATTATTATCAATGGACCTAATCCAAACTTCTGTCTAAATGTTTTTGGGTGTATGCAGTCTTTTTCTGCAACAATTAGTGGAACGAAGCAATCACAGAAAGTTCTAGCAGCAATCCGGCAAATCATCTGGAACTGAAACAAAATGCTATCAAAGGCACTTTCACAACCTTTCAGACAGAAAGGAGTATTCACTCAGTTTTGTGATATTTATCAAAGTTCTAACATCCTTGTTTGCATATCAGTTATTGAATCAGCAGCTGTGAATACTGAGAGTGACTTGAGCATCAAGCAGCCCTTCTGGAGCCGATCAAGTTTGCAGCCCACTCTGTGATCTGCAGTGAGATGTCACATCTCAAGTGCAAAGAGGAAGCAGTTATTGCACGAAGCAGGAAGTCTGAGGCGGCTCTAGCTGATATATTGCATTTTATTTGCTCATATCAAATTTCTGTGATAATACTGAGGTACTAAAGAGGGTCAGTTTGGAATGAAAACCCATTTTCTCTCTTGCTGAATAATTATATAAGCTAATCACAGTCAATCAAATCTCAACTCTTGTGCAATCAGCCAAAAGTGGCAAATGATTGCCTGTGTAAAAGAACTCAACTCATCTCATGCAATCAGCAGCAGTGATGGCTCTTTTCCCTGCTTTTCTTTGCCAAGCGCTTACGCACAAGTATCACTTAACTGGACTGTGACAAAAAAAATAATCATCCCTTGCATTTTTGTGGCCCACCATAATCCCACGATAAATATCTCTGATGCATACACATATTATGTTTATATTTCATTTCATTTTGTTTAAATATAGATATTGAAGCAGGTCTTAATCAGGTTGCTTGGTACAGTTGTTTGTAGGGTTATTTCTTAGTTGCGCTGCAGCATGTAACAATAATTAAAAGCTACACTTTAGCTATTAGCAGTGGCTCATGGTCAAAGTAGCCATTCACTTTGCTTCAGATTCTGTTTCTTCCTAAATATGTCCCTCCATCTATTTACTTATCACGTCTTCCTTGTCTCTTCCTCACTTCTCCACAGCTGGTGCAGCTGCAGCAGCTTCCTGTGACTGTGAGACCTGGTTACTAGCTGTTACTAGTTGTTGCTAGTACTACTGTTCACGGTGTAGCAGCACTGACAGCTAACATAGTCAATTTGACATATTTAGCTGTATCTATTATTAGTTTCTTTCTAATGTTTTCCCTCAGCTTTTCAGCTCCACCTTTGCAAGTACTTCCAGACTAAACTTTTGCTACAAGCTGCGTGAGCGCACAGCAAAGGGAGGGGAAGGGCCAGTCGTGTTAAGAGATTTGACTGAGAAATATAGTATCAGTAGGGATGGGAACTGATAAGAATTTAGCAATTCCGATTATCAATATCACTTAGTGATTCAATTGGCTTCACCACCACGTTACATTACAGACATTACATTCATGCAAATTAATTACATGGTGCGTGGTCAAATGTTTATGCATCTTAAAGCTATTTCCCCTCTTAGTTGTGCTCAGTTTTGGGGTCAGTACTGAAAAAAGTAATCATTGCACATATTACAAAGAACAATTTTCTTAAAAGTAATGCAGTATGTTACTTAATTGCACAGTTACTTTCATGTTACTCTGTAAATTGATTTGAAACGCACTGTCTCACTAATTAACCTGAGGCTACAGCCCCAGATGCCAAAACATATCACTATCCCAATGAGGACACACGCGATCTTTCTCTTAATATTTAGGTATGAACAAAGCCAACAACACAAATCACAGATGAAAACCAGTACAAAGAAGAACCGGTTCTCAAGTCCCATCCATAAGTGTCAGTAATGAAAATGAATGAATGGGCTGCTGTCGGTGCTTTTACAGCCCACAAATGAGTTGGTATACTGGGAAAATGCCTGGGATACCAGATTACCAGTCCAGCCCTGGAAAAATAGAAAAGAGGGAATGTCTGCAGGAGGGCCTGATGCAGAAGACTAAGGATTTTAGTCATGTGCCCAACAGAAGAGTGACTAATACTCAAAGGACAGATGACGTTTTTATAGAGTTTGAAAACAAATTCTCACACTGAAATATTTCTGGTACAGAATGTTCATCATGAAAACAAATGGCCACCTCACAGCCGCGTGGTAGCCTATGTCACCATGTCCAGGTTCATGCTCCTCCAAAAGTGCAAAAAATTAAGTGTCTGTAATTCAGTGCTCTTGCCCTGATGAAGTTAACTATTTTAGTTACAGTATCAAAGACATGGTTATTTTCATATATTTAAGTGGCTTTTAGCTTTTAGAGCAGCATAAGACAGGAAAGATGGAAGAATGCTGCATCACTTGCTGTAATATTGAACTTAAAAGTACAAACATGCAAAACTCAAAAGCTAGAAACTAGAAACTAAAAACTAGAAACAAACTACCAGGAGGAGAACATTAAGAGGAGAACATGGCACATAAGAAAACAGAGAGCAGGCAGGGATGAGGCGTCAGCAGAGGAAGACAGAGGACTTAAGTACACACAGGATCACCATCAACCATTTCTTCCTTTTCAAAGGGAGTTTTTCCTCCCCACTGTCGCCAAGTGTTTGCTCATATGGAATCACACGATTGTTGGGCTTTCTCTGGAAAAGAGAAAACAGAAAAACAATCAGGTGATTGTATAAAGGGCAGTGAGGTGACAGTGATTTGACACTATAAGAATGAAATGGAAACTACAATCTGAGCCGGTGTCTCATCGCAGGCCTGCACTGTTTCATAAATCTTCCCTTTTGCTCCTGCTGCTCTCCTCCTGTCACAAATTACTCATGACACTATAAGCATCAGGAAACAGATGAGGAAAAAAAAAAGAAAACTCAGGACAAAGCACAGACAACTGTATAGTACACTAATGCAATGCTATTAAGCTAGGTGAGAGTTGTGACTGACAAAAACTTTTCAAATGAACTGTGAAATTATTGCCTCAAAGCAATAACAAAATGTGCTTAGTAGTGATGAAGTATGTGTAGAACCAATAGCATTGTGGAATTGTGTACAAACACAACGCAAAAGACTAATGCAGGCGAGGAAACACATTCACAATGTGAGAACTGCATTAAGAGTGGTGAGAATAATCTTACTGATGTGAGAATTGCTTCAAAGCGACTGAGAAACTGTAAGGCAACCACACGGGAAGAAAGCTGCAATGTGGCAATAAGCCATAAAAGAAAGAAAACCCATCTAACAGCATCTTCTTTTCTAGAAACAGAGGCACTGTCACTTCTCATAGTCCACAGGCCTCACAGTTTACTACTCCTTTGACAGAGTAGTCCAGTCATAATTATAGCGAGCCTGTTCGGTCATCAAACATCACAGTTTGGTGTACTTGCCATCCCTTGCACTCCAGTAAAGCTTTTACAGTCATCATGATGACAAAGCTGTCATATCTAACAGAGCTGTACTTTGTGTAATGTGGGCAGTCAAAGAGGCTTACTTTTGGTCGGCACACATACTGATAATTCTTCTTCTCTCACTCCTATCATGTAACTATGTAACCGTCATAACATCATAAAGACTCATATAATAACCCTTTCTATGTAACCCACTATATATACTGTTGCTCAAGTCATTCATGGAAAGTTGCTGTCTTAAAAGGAATTGATGAGGAAACAATTGCTGTAGTTACTGGAACCAGGCTTAAACCTTTGGTTTATATAAAGCCAAGATTTTACTTTTATGTTTATTCTTTTTATACAGTTTAAAAATATAAGATGTGAACCTG